TAGCTCTCAGTGCCTGGCCACTGAGTGTGTGCTAAGAAATATTTAATGAATGATCATGGTCCCAAACTGGGGGGGTGGAGGTGGAGGTGGGAGGATGGTGAATAGGCAGGGACATGCAACAAAAAAAGGGATGCCGGGGTTTCTACCACTGAGGGGATGACAGACTGATTGGGGAGAGACTTAACAGTGTTAGATGAGTGTTTCCCAAAGGGGGTTCCATGACCCCTAGCTCTGAAGAATTCTCTGTGGAATAAAAAGGAAGAGTGGGATGGATTTCTGGTCAAAAGACCGTGGAAAATATGCCTACTATATTTCCACCTACTTGATGAGTCAACATCCATCAAAGACCAATAAAGGCACTGAGAAGTTCTGCAATAAAATTTTAACATCTTAACAATTTACCACATCTTAACATCTTAATAATGTTTAACTCAGTGTGCTCCAAACATTTCACTGGAGAGTCTTTGTGAACTCTTTTCTCCCCATTAAACATTTGTGAGCATCCAGAGGAATGAGGACCATGTTTCTAAAAGCATATTTGTGGACCATCCCAGCTGCACTAAATTGAAACCACCAACACTCCCCTTCCCAAGCAATCCTGATGATGCCCAGTGACATACGAGAGCCAGCAGATTAGTGTTTCCAGAGCACCTGCAGAGCTTGGCAGTAGAATGGTCAGGAAGGGAATCAGCCACTGTGCTGGGGTGAGCACAGAACTACGTGCTGTGAACTGTGTGTGCTGTGGGGCTCGTGGGCACAAGCTGTTGAGAAGGCTGCGCAGCTACAGGAAGGAGGAGTCTCAAGCCGCATCCTACTGGGAAGAAAGACTTATGGGGGGGGTGTGGAAAGAACTTTCGTTTGTTTTCTCTGAGTTCAGGAAGACTACAGTGGCCCAAAGAGGAATGTAATTCGATACACTCCTCAGCTCTGTGTGGCCTCAGAACTCTGTCACAGACAACACACCTGCCCATCCCCAGTGTACCCAAGAGGAAACTGAGGCCTGGGCAGCAGGGAGCTGGAGGGTTGGACCTGAGAGGGTGGGGGCTGCCTGGTCCTCTTCTTCTCTGTCCTGAGCTTGACAGTCACCTCTCTGCATGGGTCCTCGGTGTGAGCAATGGGTGAGGGCAGGTGGAGAGTGAGAGGGTCTGGCTCCTGGAGCACAGTTCCAGAAATCAGGTGGCAGCCTGCCTGTCTGGGGTCTGTCTGCAGGTTCCCATTCCTCTTGCTTCTCTGACTTCTCTTCATATTAAAAGGGTTGGTGGAACAGGTGACGTGCGTGTGTGTGTGTGTGTGTATGTGGCATATGCATGTATGTGGTGTGTGTAGATGTATTTGCAGTGGTATAAATGTGTTGTATTGTGTAGTATGTATGTGTGCAGTGTTCATATATACATGTATGTGTGGTGTGTGTGTTTATATGTGTGTGTGTGGTTTATACATGTAAGCATATGTGTGCTGTGTCTGTGGGGGGGTGCGTGTGTGTACATGTGTGTGTCTGTTGGCTTCAATGTTCGAGGGTTGGTGTCTACAACACAAGAAGGGGGTAGCCAGGCACTTGTATAACCTGGAAGTTTTTCTTGGCTCTGGAGCCACGTGGCAGGGCTGGCGATCGAGTGGGCATCCTGGGTGTTCTCAGCCCAGGGCTCACAGGCACCATGGGAGCAGGTGTGAAGCCACTGGGTTCTTGGTGATCCAGTTTAGTTGTGGCAGTCAGTAACTTTGTTGAAAGAGACCTGGCCTCTCTGGGCACAGCCTGGGCCACCACCTTATCATCTACCAGGGACAACAAAGGAAGGCTATGCAGCTGACACTCTTCTTGCTCTGGGCTGAGACCTGAAGGAGATGGATTTTTATTTCCAAATGCCAGGCTATGTCTCCAGCCCCTGTTGATAAAAATTAGAATGCAGTGATTATATGCCTGTCTCGTTCCCTCACAACAAACTCTGAGGACATGTCCAGATTCTTGTTATTATATCACATAGAGTGACCATATGTAGGTTGTCCCCTGGACCAGAGCGTGTATGTCTGAGAGGTTCTCCAGAGACTTGCCTTCTCCCTGCTAGGACACCAGCCGTGATGGGGTCTGCCTCCCTATGATGTTCAGACAAAGAGACCCAATGGCTTGCCCACCAGCTCAGTGGCCTAGGGGTCCTTGCTCTTGTCTGGGCTGTCACCTCTGCCTGCCTCTTCCTCCAGGACTGCTGGGTGGCACAGCTCCAGGGGTGCCATCCACATTCTATTCCTTCCAGCACCTTAGTCTGTAAAGGTCCATGGTCCTGGCTCTTCTAAGAGTCAGAATCGAGTTGTCACAGGGGAGGGATGGGGCAGGAGGTAGGTCGGTGTAACAGGCAAAGGAGAGGTGAGAACTAGCAGAGGCCTGGGGGCAGAGGGAGATAGGAGGGAGACGCTGGAGGCTGAGCCCATGGGGATGGGGAGGGAGTGTGGGGGGTTGAGGAGCAAGATGTGGGCTGGGGATGCAGGGATATCTCTGGGTTTCCCAGCATGTAAATACAGATGCAGATCATATAGTCAGTTCAGGAATGTGTTCTCTGGGTTGCTGTAAGCGTCATGGGGAGTCAATGAGAAGAGTGTGCAAGAGCCTGCAAACTATGAAGTGCTGGGAACAGGAGAATGCACTGCTTGCCCACTTCCTGGCCCCCTCAGAAGAGCACTGGTGGCCACGCCAACTCCGCACCCACGTGCCTCAGGACCTCCCTCCCCGAGCCCCATTTCTCACCTCCAAAACAGAGGTGATAATGGGTCCTCACAGAGTGGCTCTGCAAATGCACAGGAAGATGCCCTTCCTTTCTTAAAGGTAAACACGTGCATGCAAATGCAGTGACTTCTGCTCTGGCCCGCTCTCCCACCCATCAGCCAGTGGGGCCTTTTCCCTGACCCCCAAAATCTAGGGGTCCAGAGATCGTCAGGTCCCCCTGCCAGAGTTGCTGCTTCAGAAGAGGCTAGTGCCTGAGTCTGAGATGCCCCAGCTGCCTCCCTTCACCTGAGGGTAGGGTCCCCTCTTCCAGGCTGAGGTGTTCCTGCCAGCTGTCCATGAAGGGCCCTCAGCACCTGACACAGGTGCTGACAGTGACTGTCACCAGAACCTGTCCCCTGTCCCTGCCATTTGAGGAGTCATGACTGAAAAGCCATCCTCCAGCCCAGGAGGGAGATTTATATGCCCATCTACACTGCCCTTGAACTTCCTTCAAGGTGAATTACTCTCTTCCCTGGGAGATGCTTTGCACTCGTAGGTTTGGCCATGACCTTCTTGTCCCCCATATGTAGTTGTTTTCTCTCCACCCACGTTTCCCACTCTTTAGGGGCCTTGAATCCTAGGATAGTAAATTGATCTTGACATCCTAATCTGTGAATCAATCTTTTAGAGACAGAGGCTGCAGGGCTGTGCCTCTCCAGTTACAGAGTAGAGTTTCTTTAATCAATTGGCAGGCATCAGAGGTGGACCTACTGTGTGCCTACTTTGGCCACTGTGGGGGCACAAGAAGAGAAAGGTAGCTGTAATCGAGGAGCTTAAAATCTACTTGGGGAGATCTGAATTCTTATAAAAGCAATGACAAAGTAATGGTTCATTTAGGCTGAGTTTGGAGGTGCCAGAGTAAGCTGAGTGTTTAATGAGTCAGGGATTAAGGAAGACGCTTGCAGCAAGAGAGAGAGACTTCGTGTTGATGGTCTGAAGGAGGAAAATGAACTTCTTGCTGGGTGAGATCTGGGACAGGTGCTTCAGAAGCAAAGATTGTTTGCTCACTTGGTTTTTTTGATCTTAGCTTTACAAGTCATCTTGAACAACTACCCCACTGGTAATTATCTTCGAGGCCTGGGGAAGGGGTCATCATCTCAGGAGGCAAGGGGTCTGTCCCCTGTGAGGGTTGGTTGATAGAAGGCAGGTCTCTCCCGGTGTCCCCTTCTGGTTACTGTCTGAGTTCTGTCACCATAGATTAGTTAGTTTGCCTGTTCTTGAACTTTATATAAGTTGAATTTCTTTTGTGTCTGGATCCTTCTGTTCCACATTATGTTTGTGAGATTTATTTATGTTGTTGCATGTTGTTTTAATTTGTTTATTCTCACCACTGTATAATATTTTAATGTGTGGACCAACCCCGATTTATTTATCTGGTCAGGTGTTGACAGGCATTTGGGTAGTTTTCACTATTACGAACAGTGCTACTCTATACCTTTGCATACATGTCTTTGGGGGGACATCTGTGCACATTTCTGTTGTTTTTATACCTGGTGTGAATTCCTGGGTCCTAAGGCATGCACATGCTCGGCTTGAGTGGATGTGAAAGTATTGTTTTTAAAGAATGTGATGATGGAAACCAGACTGAATGTAAGGAGGAATGAAGGGCATTGGGAATGAAGCCAGGAGTTGGAGAATTTGTTGAAGAGATCGCCAACCAAAGGGCAGAGAAACCAAATCATAGCAGCTGCACTGAGTAAAGAGTTTTCTGTCTACAGGGTGGTTCGTGTAGGAAACATTGGAGCATGAAGACTAGAGCAGGTTGACTTAGTGAAAAATTCAGTGCAACCTTGGTCAGTGTGGGCTTCTCAAGGAGCAGGGCTTAACTCCAAAGGTCAACCCCTGCATGGACCCTACAGTGTGCCTGCATCTGCAGAGCCCCTGCCTAGGGAACAGCCACTGCCATCAGGCTGGTAGAGGTGGGGGTGGCCCGTCAGAGGCTTGTACAGAGCCCCTGCTGGATGTGGAGGCTTTCAGCAGAGAGCCAAGGGCAGGAGACAGCAGAGACCTGGGCCATTTCTGTACCTGACTGTGCATCTTTTTAAAATACCACTGAAACGAGGAATCTACAACCAACTCCTCCTGACTCTCACTGTGTGCACCAGCCGGTGCTCCCTCCAGCCTCCAAGCTGCCCAGGATGACCACCCGAGGGTACAGGGAGGGCCTCTTCTACCCTCTCCACCCGCTTGTTCCAGCCTCCTGACTGAGCAAATAACAGAAGCCCTTTCCCCCCATCTCTTCCAGAATGGCAGCAAAGACAGCTCTCTGGACATGCTGGGCACCGACATCTGGGCCGCCAATACCTTTGATTCCTTCAGGTAACTTGCTCCTCCTCCTCTCCTGGCTCTCTTGTCCTCCTGTCCTGGAGCTAAGTGTCTAAATGCCAGTCGTTTGCTGACCAAGAAGTGGACAGAACAAAGAGGGGTGGAGTGGAAGGAGGAGGCTGAAGAGGAGGGAGGTCAGAGAGAAGAGGCAGGGAGCCCAGCGGAGGAAATCAAGGCAGCAAGTGCCACTGGGGGGGGGGAGAGAAGAGAGGGCGAGGGGACAGGAAGACGGAAAGAGAGCCCAATGAAGGGGAGAGGGAGAGAAAGTGGGTGGGGGACTGGGAGATGGCAGAGCACTGAAGCTGTACACCCCAGGCCCTGCCACCTGAAGGTCATGGGCTTCAGACACTAGAAGCTTCCTGACTGGCCTCCGATATTGGCCAGGGTTCTTCAGGATGTGGGACTTGTCCTGAAGCGTTTGCTGATGGGCTTCTGCCCTGGTGTCCACCACTCCTATGGGGAGTGGCGGCCTTGGGCCCTGGCTGGGGTGGTCCCTTAGACCAACTCTGCCCCCATCTGGCGGGCTCCAGGCACAGCCCCGCTGGGGCTTGCACTTGCCCAGTGTGGAAGGTCTCTGGGGACTTGACCTGTGGGAACCCTGCTTCCCACCCATGTCCTCCACTGCCACAGAGTCTGGTCGCCATTTTGAGCTGTGTGTCAGGGGCTCTAGTGACAGGTTTCTGGCCACCTTGCCCTCTCCAGCCTTCCCCCAAAGCAGGCGTGAGAACAGACTTGGAAGTGTCGTGGGGGCCGCCGTAGAGTAGGCACCAGGCCACGCTTGAGTTTTATAAGCATGCGTTTTCCTATACAGGATTGAGAAGGCTTGACACCTCAGGCTCCACTCTGAGTGGGGGTGTCCCTGCCCAGCCCTGTCCTTGGTGGTGGGCGCCGTCCCCTGCCTGCCTGGTGTCTGGTCCCCTCAGTAGCTTGCCTGTCTCCCCCTTGCCTCACATTTCTCACCTTCCCTGTCCCTCTAGTGGTGCCACCTGGGACCTGCAGCCCGAAAAGCTGGACTTCACCCAGTTCCACCGGAAGCTCCGCCACATGCCCAAGCAGCCCCTGCCACACATTGACCGTGAAAGGTAAGGGGCGGCCAGGGCTCTTTCACAGGGATGGGGTGGGGTGGGGAATGGGAATGGCTATACCTGAGTAGGGACCTTTGCCTTGGCTGGGAGGCTGTCCTGCTGCTCCGGGGACACGCAGGTGGCTAAGGTCTCCACCCCAGAACTGCAGGCTCACGGGCTTCTGTCTGGAATCCCTCCACCCTTCCCTGCCTGGCCCCCTCCAGCCCACACTGCCTGCTCCTGACCACCCACAGTGGCCCCTCTTGTCAGTAACCCAGTCCTGTGGGTCTCAAACATGAGCATCCGTCACCTGGGGGGCTTGTTAGAACACAGGTGGCTGGGCCCGCCCCAGAGTCTCTGACTCACTAGGTCAGGGTGGTCCGGGGACCAGTCACACCTTGGGAACCGCTGGTGCAGGGCCTGACTCTACACTGGCTGGTCCCACCCTCTACCGACTTCACTGTCAGTGTTGCCGTCCCTTTTAAAAGATGGCATCAAAACCTGGGCTGCTCTCAGGACAAGAATGCAACTCCAGCCAGACACAGGGGTGTGGGACAAATGGCTGCTGCTTTTTTTATGGTTTTTAATAATTTTTATTGAGGTAAAATTCACATAACATAAAATTAACCATTTCAAAGTATACAATTCAAGGGCGTTTAGTACATTCACAGTGTTGTGCAACTACCACCTCCATCTAGTTCCGAAATATTTCCATCACCCCAGTATAAAACACATACCCATTAAGCAATTATTCCCCATTTCATCCCACGCTCATCCCCACCTCCACCCCCAGCCCCTGGCGACCACCAATCTGCTTTCCCTTTCTGTGAATTTACTTGTTCTAGATACTTATAGAAATGGAATCATAGGTGGCCCTTTGTGTCTGACTTCTATCACTTGGCATAATGTTTTTGAGGTTCATCTACTTTGTAGCATGTATCACTACTTTTCCTGGCCAAATAATATTCCATTTTGTGGCTAGAGGAGAGTTTGTTTACCCGTTCATCTGTTGACGAGTATTTGGGTTGCTCCCACATTTTGACTGTTGTGTAGGACACTACTAAGAACACTTGTGTGCACGTATCTGCCTTAAATTCTTTTGGTATATACGTAGGGGTGGAATTTCTGGGTCATATGAAAATTCTATGCTTTACTTTTTGAGGAACTGCAAGCTGTTTTCCACAATGACTTAATATTTTACCTTCCCACCAGTAACATCCAAAGGTTCTGATTTTTCCACATCTTCATCAAACTTGTATTTTATTTTTTTGTTTGTTAGTTTTTAAGTTTTATTTTTCCTTCCAGTCCTTTCCTGCCCACTCTCCTCTCCTTGTTGCTTCAGATCGAAACGTAACTGACATTACTGGACACTTACCTGCATCTCACATGTCCTCACTGTAGTGTGATGAGAACAACCGTGGAGGGGGCTGCTAGTCTCATCCCCATGTTAGAGATGAGGACGGAAGAGACACTGGGAAGCGCAGTGACTAGTGCAAGCACCACAGCCGTGGTTTAACGAAGGCCAGGCCTTCTGCCACCATCCAGTGCCCAGAACATCACACCAGGGTGTCCTTAACCCCCTTACAATTTTATGCACACCGTGTGCACACGTGTCTTTCTGGGGAGAGGCTCATCACTTGTATTAGACCCTCCCTGGAGACCCCAGCCTCTTATCCCCTCTCCTTTGTTCCTTGTCCTGCCTGTTGTGGGTTCCATTCTTCTTTGCGTGGAGAGGGGAGACGGCTTTGAGTGTGGAGGCACCCTGGTAGAAGGAGATAGAGCAAAGGAGAGACACGGCAGGGGGCTCCCGAGCCTGCCTCACACCACGCCCCCCACTGCCTGCTCATCTCCCTCTTTCAACAGCAAGGAGGCCACGTGTCTTCCAAGCTGCCATGCTGCTCAGGGCTGGCTCTCCACGCACTGTGTTTAGGAAGGACGACCTTCACTCAGCAGGCAAAGTTCAGGAACAGGTTTTCAGCAGAGGTGGTGTTTCCCATCAGCCCTGGTGTAGGAGCAGGTTGGAGCTTGGGGAATGCCATGGAACCAGAGGAGCATTTCACTTTTCTGAAGCCCAGTGTAGCCGGTCTGTCAACAGACCTTCCGTGGCCTCCTGTAGGTACCATAAGGAAAATACACACCCTCCCATTATACTGTTCAATCTACTGGGAAAAGGAGACTCAAACCCATTCATGATTGAGACTGTGCAGGAAAAAAAATGACTAAGCTGTGTGGTATAGACATTTAGAGAGTATGCAGTATAAAATAAGATGCCAGGCGTGGGATTAAATAAAGTAAATGTGAAAGGGGTCAGAAAAGAGCATTTTGGGGGGATGAACCATCTGGGGAAGGTTTCAGGAGAGAGACAGTATTTTCCTGGGCAGCTCCAACTTCTCCTGTGCCCCTGGGAGCACATAGTTGGTGAAACCAATGGGGAAACCGAGGCCCAGGAGACTGAAGTAATGGTGCTGCCATACTGACTATGGGTGTATGGTGGGGAATGCCTGCTGATCAAGCTTTCCAGAGGTGTCTGCACCAGCTCACAGTGATTAACTTCATAATCAAAATGCTATTTGGCAGTACTAATAAATGACTATCCAGGGGAGGAAATATTTCCCTTGTGCTGAGGGGACTGTCCCTTTGGAAGCCAGAGTAGCTGGCCACACCCACTCAGCAGCTGTGGGACAGAATTCCTCAGCCAGGTTCACCCACTGACCAGGAGCCTGCCAGATTTGCTGAGAGTTGTCTGGGATCCACCATGGAGAGCTGGCTCTGTGGCCGAATCCTGTCACTCCTGGGTTCCTGGGGCATGTGGGTGCAGTGTCCTGTGGCCATCTCATGGCTAGTCCAGGAACTATGTCCACCTTACAGTCCAGCTGCAGTGGGGGACAACTGCTGCAGATGTACTCAGAAGCAGAGTACCACTCGGTTGCCAAGGCTCCCTGCAGCCTGTGTTTCCATGGAGGGACAGAAATCGGAGAAGGCTGTTGCCTTGGCAACCCTGTTGGCAGCAGTGACTCAGCTGGTCTGTAACCACCTTCTGCCCTCCAAACCTGCAGTCCTACAGGGAGTTCTGAAGCCTGACCAGGGTGGGCCGGGAGGACAGCAGCCCCCCCGCTGCACACCGTCCACTGCCTGACCCTATGGGCTGCTGAGACGAGACCCAAAGGCTGTGCCTGTGCTGTGCCCGGTGTGTGCTGGGAGCTCAGTGCATGCTGCAGAGTCCTGAGGTGTGTTTTGCCCACAAGTGATATAGGCGAGGGGATGTCAGCCATTCCAGTCGGGCCTAGTCCCCGGGGCCCTCCTCCCACACAGCCATGGCACATGCAGAGCACAGATGACTACACACAGGTGGTGTATTCGTGGGCCAGCCTGTCTCTATCAGGCAGTTCATTAGTTAAGATATGGTTGGATGTTCCACGCCTTCCCCCACCTCCTCTGTAGACCTGCACCTCACGGAAGGTGGGTGGAGCGTGGGGGGCGACTTTTCCTCTTTTCTCTCATACCTCTTGTCCCCTCCTTACAGTGCCCCTGTTATCCCATCCCAGCTCCACCTCCCAGACCTGAGCTGCTCTTGAAGCCCTCACCTCTGCCTTGCCCCTGGTGCCCGCCGCCACGTGCTCCAGGTCCCTGCTCGCTACACATTTGCTCTTCGATCCAGGCCTTGCTGCTCCCTCTGCCTGGGACGTTCTTCAAAATCCCTGTGCTCGGCCAGCTCATGTCCCACCTCCCTCCCACCCTCTGCCCAAGACCTCTCTGGGTACCTGAGGTGCCCTCTCTGATCCCTGACAGAGCTCTGGCCACTGTGTTGTAGGGGCTGACTCTCCCACAGATATGGAGGTCCAGTGTCGAGCACTGTTTGTACCAGGGGCCCAGTCCACAGCCCGGAGCCTGGCACAGAAGAGTTTAGTGAATGAAGAAATGAACGGTCGAATGCAGGGGGCTTGAAGGGTACCCTGGTTCTTCTCTTCTGCCCAAGCCTTTGCTGGGTTTGCTGCCAGTGTCTCTTCCTCCAGGGCTCCTCTGTCCCTAGGACTCTTGCGAGACTTATCCCATGCTGCCCCCTAATGGTGCCCAGTCTGATGGCTCCGTGAGATGAGTTTAGGACTTGCTCTCCTGAGAGCTATGAGCTGATGATGGCAGCAACCACACCTGATTTCTTTTTTTTGCCAGGGCCCCAAACAGAAGAGATGCTTCATAAATGTTTAAGCGAATGAACTAATTACTCTGAAATTTGAGATTTGCATTAACTCTGCAGGTTGAAGATGCGCCACTAACTCATTGAACATCCTTCACCACCCCTCAGTCAGTGCGACTACTAATAGTAGTAACTAATAGTACTACTGTGCACTGGCCATGTGCTGATCCCTGATCTAAGTCGCTTGCCTCGTGTTATTTAAAACTCACCACAACCCAGAGAGGTAGAAGCAGTTACCAGCCTTCACTGTGACAGGTGGGGAAACTAGGAGACTCAGAAATCGAATACCTTGCATGGGGCTGGTTTGGCTCCAGAGTCTATGCTCTTAACCAATGACCTTGCTCGAGCCCTCTCTGCCCCAGTAGACAACAGTCATGGTAGAAGTAGTCCTAGTAGTATCAATATACTGACCTTGTTCTTTATTTTATTATAACTTTATTTCATTATTACTTGTATTTACCATTAGTATTATATATAATGTTTACTATGTGCCAGGCACAGTTCTTAGCATCTAAGCACTTAAATATGTTAACTAATTTAATCCTCTAACTATCTTATGATGTTAGGCACTATTATTATCTCCATTTTATAGGTGAGAAATGAGAAAAAAAGTGGCTTAGAGCAGTCGAGGGAAGGTGAGGTCTGTTAACAGCTCCACAGAGATACGGGCATGGGGCTTCGGTCACGTCCCCGTCGCTCTTGTCTGGCATAACTGGTAAAAAGCATGTTCTAGGGCTGGCCCAGTGGCGCACTGGAGAGTGCGTGGCTTGGGAGTGCGGCAGCGCTCCCGCCAAGGGTTCGGATCCCATGTGGAGACCGGTTCCCGCTCACTGGCTGAGCGCGGTGCGGGCGCAACACCGAGGGTTGTGATCCCGTTACCAGTCAGTAAAAAAGACAAAAAGGAAAAAAAAAAAAAAGCATGTTCTAGTGGCAGTTTCCAGACTAAGTGCTACCGCCGATGAGTATAGATTACCTAAATGTTATCACTAGTTGTACAATGTCACCCTCATTTTTTGTTGCAATGTTCCTGGAATTCAAGATACAAAGAGCAATGTGTAGCCAATCAGTAGCTCGTGCTATTTCAGTGCGCCAAGGTAAATTCTCGGTAAACAACTTTGGAACCACCCCTTAACTTCTCCCTTTCTCCCTTTAAAAATCAATTTGTAACTGCTGTTGGATGGAGCACAGTTTTAAGACACTTTGAATTTGTGTCTTCCCAAGCTGCAGTCCTCAATCTTGGCCCCAAACACTCTTTGTTTTATGTATTTTTCCTCATTTTCTTCCTTTAGGGCCACAGGAAACTGAAGTACAGAGAGGATAAGAGATTGCATAGGGTCACCCACATAGTAAGGGTTGCAGCTGGAGCTCAAACCCTGCAATCTGCTTCCAGAATCTGCACCCTTAAATATGCAAAAGAAACAGACCTTTAGCCAGTGAACTGGGGCCAGCATTCCTGGCCTGAGGGCAGCCACTCCCACCCCCTCCCGCTTCCCTAACCCCCCAAAGGACATGAAGGAAAAGCATACAATATTTGAGCAGGCTTGCTAGACTGGCCCAAAGTCAAGCCAAGGAGGAAGGAAGCCCCACAGGGCTTTCTGCCAGTTCCTGACAGCCTATGTGACCTTGAGAAAGTTCCTTGGTCTCTCTGTTCACTGATTTTTCCTTTTGGTGTGATGGGGCCAGGTCGACGGGCTTCTGCAGGAATTGTGACAGGCTTTAGGGTATCCATCAGCAAGGAGATTAGCTTCTTTGCCTGAAAGGGTCAAGGGGAACTCTGGTTCCTTTCTCATCACCCCAGTGGTTGGGTGTTGCATTAGGGGGGAGGGGCCCGCATCTCCAGGGCCATTTCCTCTGAGTGGAACAGCTAATTCTGCAGTCCTTGAGAGACGGCAGGACCAGGTGTCTCCTGACCGTCCCTCCTCTCCTGCTGGCCGGGCTGGGACAGGATGCATGAATGAGCCTTCCTTTCAATGCCCTTCTGTCTTTTCTTGCCCAGGTGTGGAAAAGGGAAGCTGGAAGATGGGGACAGTATCAACCTGAATGACATTGAGAAAGTCCTCCCGGCCTGGCAGGTAGGTGCAGGGGCAGATTCTCCAATACCACCTCCTCCTTTTGAAGTCCCTATCCTCTGCCTGGGCAGGGCCTAAGTCCTCCTGCTGGCCCCTTGCTCCGGGAATGGGTGTGACTGCACAGGCAGCAGTGGGGTGGGCAGGGTTGGGGTACCTGCTGTGGTCTAGGGTGTCCCACTATGATGGTGTGTGGCTGCCCACTCTTGGCCTGGCATTCCCTGGAGGTGAAATGGGCCGTGCCCTGGCAACTCCACAACCTTGGAAGTTTTTGTCCCTTGACCCAAAACCTCTGCAAGTGAGGGATCCTGTGGTGTGTTCAGATGGGACTGGCAGGGATGCTGGGGTTTCTCATGTGGTCGGGGCTATCTTTAGGCTTTTGAAAAGTGGAATTACCCTACCAGCCTCCAGTGTCTGCCTCACTCGCTGATTTTGTCACTGATTGAGGTTTTTTTCCTGAAGTCGGACCAGGTTCCAGGACAAAGAGGGTTCACTCAGCAAAGATACAGTGTATCCAGGTTTCTAGATGCTCATAGTGCTCAGCTTTTGGTGGAAATAAAAGGAATCTGGCTGCTCCCAGGATGGAGCTGGGGTTGGGCCTACTGCAGGGGAGTAAAGGCAGCAAGACCCTCTGAAGTGACTGAGCCACCACAGCTGGGGACCTGCCACCATGCCACCATGCTGCTGTATTAGTCCATTTTGTGTGGCTTATAACAAAATACCTGGATCTGGGTGATGTATAAAGAAAAATGACATTTGTTGCTTACAGTTTCTGAGGCTGGGAAGTCCAAGGTCCATCTGGTGGTGGCAACAGTGACCCAGGGGTCTCACATTGCACGATGGTGGAAGCAGAGAGAGCAGCAAAAAGAGAAAGACAGACTCTCTTTTAAAGCCCTCAGAACCACGCCCCTGACCACCATTTTTAATCCATTCACTACAGCACGGTCCTACCATCCAATCACCTCTTCAAGGCTCCACCTTTCAATTACTGTAATAGGATTTCCCGACCTCGTAACAGTCACAGCAGGGGCTGAGTTTCTAATACATAAAACTTGGGGAACACAGTTCAAGCTCCAGTGAGTTCTGGGGGGACATAACTCAATCTGCTACAGCTGCCCTGCCCTTCTCTCTCCTGAGTCTCTCTTGCTATTTTGCCTCCATCTTTTCATCTCTTCCTGGTGCCTTTCCCATTCTGTTTCTTCTCTGTTCACGTCTTGGTTCTATCAGCGAGAAATGATAGTGTGTACGGTTAAGGCCTCAGCACTTTGGTCATGATGTGCTTTGGTGTCGTTTTTCTTCATGTCTCTCCCACTTGGGGTTCATTGAGCGTCCTGGATCTGTAGGTTTATAGTTATATCAAATTTGGAAAATATTCGACCATCGTTCCTCTGCCCTTCCTTGCACCCTGGGGGTCCAATTATAGGTGTGCTGAGATTCTTCATATTTCCAGTGGCTCACCAGAGCTCTGCTTGGTTTTTTAAAGTCTCTTTTTCCTCTCCGTGTTTTATTTTGTATAGTTTCTATTGCTATGTCTTCAAGTTCATTAATCTTTTCTTGCAGTTTATAACATGCCATTAATTGCATCCAATATTTTTTCAACTCAGATATTGTATTTTTCATCTCTAGAAGTTCACTGTGGATCTTTTAAAAACATCTTCCACTTCTCACGCTTTCTCCTGTCTTCTTGAGCAGATGGAACCCGTATCAAATAGCTGTTTTAATGTCCTTCTTTGCTAATTCTGTCATTTGTGTCATTTCAGAGTTTTTTCTATTACAACAAACCCTTGAACAACATGAGTTTGGACTGTGTGGGTCCACTTATGTATGGATTTTTTTCAATAACTGTATTGGAAAATTTGGGGTTAGGTATGTCATGAATGCATGACATACCTAACCAAACAGTTAAGTAGCCTACATAACAGTAGACTATTAGTAGGTTATTAGTTGTTAAGTACTTTACTACTACCCACCCACCCCCAGTCTGGGTCATGTGGTGTGGCGCAGCCATGACCAGGAGAAAGTCATACACTGATTTTTGACTGTGTGGGGTTGGTGCCCTTGACCCCTACATTCAAAGGTCAATTGTAATTGATTTTTCTCCTGGTTATGGGCCATTATTTCTCTTTGCATGCCTGGGAATTTTATAATAGAGGCCAGCTGTCAGGAACTTTACATTATTAAGTGCTGAATTTTTTTTTAATTCCTTTCAATATTTTGGGCTTTGTTCTGGAACACAGTTAAGTGACTTCCAACCGTTTGATCCCTTCAAGACTTGCTTTTAAGCTTTGTTAGGATGGGAAGACTTTAGTCTAAAGTTTAGACTTTTGCTCCACTACTGAATCAATACCCTTCTGAGGCTGCTACCCAATGCCCTTTGGATTAGGAGATATTTCCACCCTGGCTGGGGGAAACAAGCTTTATCCATTCCTATGCAATCTCAGTGGATTGTTCCTTCTATTCCTTTTTTTCAGCCTTGGAACTTTCCTCACACGCATGCACAAATCAATACTCAACTGAAGGCTTGAGGGTCTGCAGGCTTCTGGATTTCTCTTGGTCTCTCTGGTCTTGGTCTGCCTTGAAAATTCTAGTTGTCTGGGGCTCCCCTTTCTGCATTGCAGACTGGAAACTCTCTCCAGGCAGTAGACTGTGGCACAATATAGGGGTCACCTCATTACAAAGAGAAT